GTCCCCGTGTCCCCCGTCCCCCCCAAGCACATACCTCATGGCTCCCGGAGCTGCCCCCGCTTGGGGCCGCGTCAAGCCCAGCCGGCACGGCTCGGCATGCCCCGGCATGGCTTGGCACAGCCCGGCGCGGGGTCCCCCTACTATGCATGGTGCCGCGGTGGCGGCGGGGGCCGCGGCCGGCGTCGCTGAATGTAGGGCGCGGGACGGGGGGGGCCGCTGAGCTCCGTGACAATCACAGTCTGTGACGTGCGATTTTAAACCCTTTTGTGTTTTGGTCAGGATTTTAAAGAAAGATATTTTTATGGTAACTGTTGCTGGTCTATTTTACTATATATTTATGTAATAAATATATGATGAAAAAAAAAAAACCAACCAAACCCAACCAAACCCACCCACACAGCTCAGCTGGATCCGGCCTCTGCTTTCCACCGCTGGCTGCCGGAGTGGGGGGGCTGGGGTGGGGGAACCCCCCTGGCGCTGCCAGCGGAGCCCTGGGGCAGATGCCCAACTGGAGGGGGGGGGGGTGTGCTGACATCCCAGCGCCCACCTGGGGAGTGCAGCCCCCCGGGAGTCCAGTGGGTGCCGTGGGGTTTGTGTTGCCCCTTGGGGGGGGCTCGTGTGTCATCCCCCCCCCCCCGGCCGCAGTGCTATGTACAAGGGTGGTGGGTGCGCGGGGGGGTCCCTGGGGTCTGTGGGGGCCCTACTGGGCATCGATGCGGAAGGAGAGCAGCTTTTCGGAGTGGAGGTTGTTGAGGGTGCGCAGGTCCGGCAGCTTCAGCAGCAGCTTGGTGAACCGCGACGTCTCCGCCGGGTGCGTCTTCAGCACGAGGGCGCGCAGGGCGCGGATCAGCGTCTCCTGCAACTGCTCCACCGACGCCGTGTCCTCCATGCCGGAGCGGTCTGCGGGGACGAGGCGTCAGCAGGCGGGCAGTGACACCCGCTCCCCCCCCGCGACCGAACGCCCCCTCCCCGCGTCGCCCCAGCTCCCACCTGCTGAGACCAGGACAACGGCAGTGAAGAGCCCCAGCTCCTCATCAGTGAGGTCGAGGGCGCTGAGCTTCTCGCTGAACTCGAACATGGAGCTGAGCAGGTCGCCCATGCCCATGCCCCACAGCTCCTCCAGGCTGTACTTCGTCCGGCTCATGAACGTCACCGTCTGCTCCTTCACGTCAAACAGCGAGGCGAAGCGAACCATCAGCACCTGCGGCACACACGGCGTCAGCAGGATGGGGTTAACCGTGCCGCGCCGGGGGGCATCCTGCAACGCTGTGGGCTACCATGCAATGCCAGGCTCCATGCTGTGGCTCCCACGCTGTGGGCTACTGTGCCGTGCCGTGGGCACCATACGATGCCGTGCTCTGTGCCACAGCTCCATGCTATGGGGCACCGTGCAATGCCGCAGGGCACTATGCCGGTCCATGGGGCGCTGTGCCAGGCTGTGGGGCATCATGCAATGCCGTGGGGCATTGCACAATGGCATGGGACTCCACGCCACGCTCTGGGGCGCTGTGCCCATGCCGTGGGGCTCCACACCAGTCCACGGGGCACCGTGCAACGCTGTGGGGCAC